CAGGGGACCCTAAAACTCAAGACCCTTTGAAAGCCCTACAATCGCTGTTGTATTCTGCCTTCTTTTAAGTCCAAAACCACTCTTTGCTACCCATTCAGTTCAAAATACAGACACTTCTTAAAGGTTTGAAATAGCTGTAGGAGAAAATTTTCAGGTGCAACATTCTTTGAGACAGGGCATCCTCTTTTTTTTTCTTTTTTTCAACGTTTATTTATTTTGGGGACAGAGAGAGACAGAGCATGAACGGGGGAGGGGCAGAGAGAGAGGGAGACACAGAATCGGAAACAGGCTCCAGGCTCCGAGCCGTCAGCCCAGAGCCTGACGCGGGGCTCGAACTCACGGAGCGCGAGATCGTGACCTGGCTGAAGTCGGACGCTTAACCGACTGCGCCACCCAGGCGCCCCCAGGGCATCCTCTTAAAACTAGTGAAAACTAAGATAACTGGCAATAAAGCTGTTACAATGGAACAAATTTTTAATTTTTATCACGCTAAGGCAAGATTATGTTACACATGCTCCTCAAGCATTTCATAAATGATTTCAGCCAGGGTCATGTGCATCAACTCAAGCTTAAAAAATGAAATTAGGGGTGCCTGGCTGGCTTAGTCAGTTGAGCGTGTAACTCTTGCTCTCCGGGTTGTAAATTCTAGTTGGGTGTAGAGATTACTTAAAAATAAAATCTTAAAAAAAACTAAAGATTGAAAATAAAAAATTACAGGGGTGCCTGAGTGGCTCTGTCATTAAGCATCTGACTTCGGCTCAGGTCATGATCTCACTGTTTGTGGGTTCTAGCCCCGAGTCTGGCTCTGGGCTGACAGCATGGAGCCTGGAGCCTGCTTTGGATTCTGTGTCCCCCTCTCTCTCTGCCCCTCCGCTGCTCACACTCTTGTCTCTCTCAAAAATAAATATTAAAAATTTTTTAATAAAAAAATGAAAAGTTACATTAAAAGATTAACAGACATTTTAGTTTTCAATTAGCAATAATCGCGCCTTGGATAAACCTCATTGGCTACGATACTGCCACTGCGCAAAGCTCAGACATTTTAAAAGTATTAACCACGATTTTTTTATTTAAAAATATTATTTTAGGGGCGCCTGGATGGCTCAGTCGGTTGAGTGTCCGACTTCAGCTCATGATCTCATGGTTCTGGGTTCCAGGACGGCATCAGGCTCTGTGCTGACAGCTCGGAGCCTGGAGCCTGCTGCAGATTTTGTCTCCAGCTCTCTCTGCCCCTCCCCACTTGTGCTGTCTGTCTCTAAAATAAACATCTAAAAAAATATATTATTTTAATGTTTATGTTTGAGTGAGAGAGTGAGAGAGAGAGAGATAGGGTGCTAGCAGGGGAGGGGCAGGGAGAGAGACACAGAATCCCAAGCAGGATCTAGACTCTGAGCTATCAGCACAGAACCTACCCCAGGGCTCAAACTCATGAACCATGAGATCATGACCTGAGCCGAAAGTCGGAGGCGTAATAAGCCACCCAGGTGCCCTGGTATTAACCACGACTTAAATTCCAGAATTTAAGTCTGCCCTAACATTACCGCTTTAGAAGGCAACCGTCCCCCACCTTGCAATCTCCTCCCCTCTGGCTTTGGGGAATACACCACACTGATCTTGAGCTTGTCTAACAGAACATTTCTTTAGAGCTAGTGTTTAGAGTTGGGCAATTGTCGTAACAAATTTCTGGTCCAGACTGCGAGTGAAGTGAGCTTCCCAATTACAACATTCGTGCAAGAAAACGAACTGACATGGGCACTGACGTGGGAGGAACGGAGTTAGGTGCAGAGCGATCACTTAACACCGACTGGGGCTGCAGGCGGTCTGTGGCCACGCAATGACAAGCAGAAGCCACGTGAAGCTGGCGACCAGGGCAGCATCCTCCTCCGCTAGCTCAGGACCGACCGGGAGCCCCGTCCCCCGCTCACTCCCGGGCGGTCCCTGCAGCGCAGCCCGGGCGGCGGCTGGGGCACAGGTGGGCGATCAAGGTCAGCTCTGCAAACCCCGCACCCCGCGCACCTCCGCGCAGGCCGCCGAGCGCGGGCGCGGCGGCAGCCCCGACGGAGACGCCGCGCGCCGAGCGTCCCCGGCCTGAGGACCG